TTTTTAAGTGGGAGAACTTGCACAACTGGTGGCTGACTAAATACTTTTTTGCCCCACTATAGCTAGTTGCCTGCCTTCCTGTGTAGCAACTATCCAAAACAGATCTGTGACAAATTCATACTTTCCAAAGTTTTCCAAAGGCATAACTTTTGGCACTGCCTGGCACATCATAAATGGAAGATGAGGCCCATCGTTTTCAAAATTAGAGGTAAAACTGTCCGAGAGCTTCTACCAAATTGTGCACAAGCAAAAACAGGGCAAAATCTTCTAAGTACTCAAACTGAGAAGGTTTTTCTTGAACAGAGGCATCACATGTCCAACTCTGGTTCACTTTTTTAACAAAAAGATTCTCTGCTCAAATGGCTGGACTTCTTACATTTCTTTTCTTTGACCAACATTGGGCAACTATACAACAAACTGACACATTTTGGTCCCAGATTCAGAATTGGAGATCAGTTTAAGTTCCTGATATTGGCCTGTAAGGAAGTATAAGCCAACATTCTCATTCCATTTTGCTGAAAATATATTGCCTCTTTAGGAAATAAGCCCCAACTTTCTACTGCTTTTTGGACAGGGGTGTCCAAAAGATATGGTCATAAAAGTCAAGATTGCAGCCATGATGGTGAACATGAAGCTCCGCCCATGTTTTACGTGTGTCGCACACAAAATACACATAAAAAACATGTGGAGCTTTGATCACACCATTGTGGCCTGCATCTTGACTTCTTTTAACCATACTCTGTGGAGACCCCTGTTTCCGGATGTAGGGTAGAAGAAATTACACCAATGTGGAAGAACACCAGCATGCAATTTATTTTATTTAAGCTTATAAAATGATTGACAGTTCACCATTTTGCTTTCAAATCTACCAAACAACAACCACCAAATGAAATAACTATCTACAGAAGTTGCTTGCAGAATATTACAGAATAAGTATACATAAGAGTGATTTTAAAACAGTCAGATTACAGAGAGATGACTTGACTTGAATTAAACATCTAAAGCTTAAATTCTATACTGTCAATCCCCCAGACAAAATTCTATCAATCTCAGTAAGACTTATTTCTGAATTGCACTCCATGTTATTTAAATTAGACAGACACAATTTATGATATAAAGATTATATGAATAATCCTCAGTGATCTGACCTTCTAACAAACTCCTTGCGTGTGATCAGAAAAATTAAAATGCAAAACATTAAGCTATATTGAGAAAAGGAGATACTGAGGAAAAAGTCTGGTTAGGATGCCTGGAACTACTTTAACCTTTTCTATTTGTGAAAACACCTTAATTCTCTTCATTTAAATGGGTCAGATACCTACCCATAAAATTTGTTTATGAAAAGTTAACATGTCAAGAATGAAAAAGCAGGAAAGGAAACAGGCAAAGGAATGGACCAAAAAAACCCAAAAAAAGGCTCACAATTTGAGCAGCTACCTCTGATTAGAGGACCAATACCTGCATGCTGTCATGGTCACATTTGACCCTATAATAGTCAGTCACAGGGCAATACTTCTCTCTCCAAGTTGACAGGCCAAAGCAGACAGACAATGGCCGCATGATGAGCTGTGGTCTAAGCACAGTAGGAAGTGGGGGAGAGTTGCTGACAGCAAACCTCAGCTAAGTGAGTGCTAAAGTGAGAATCAAGGCTGCTAGTTTGCAATGTGCAAACTTAATATGCTTCACTTATTAAGAAAATGTTGCTGGCAATCTGTAAGACTACAGATAGGGTAAGCCTTCCCTCATTTTTTTTTAAACCTCCCTTTCAGTATACAACAGGAAAGATTTTCTGGGGCAAGGGGAAAAAAAGACACTTTTTCAACCTTAAACCCATCTCTCAAAAACTGCACATAAAACTGAAGGGTGGGGGGAAATAATATAAATTAATTAGAACCATCCTTAGCCCTTTTGGGAGGGGGAATGAATAATAATGACGCAAGCATTCATTAGAATAAAATTTATAGTTCACTGGGAAATGATGAGAAGACTTTGGGGAAGGACATTAGTATAGTAGCATAGCATACATTTTTCCATGCCGCTACTGCTGCTACTGCTACTATTTTAGATATAGTCAATATACTCAGGACAAATACAAAAAACTAAAAGCACATGAGGTTTAGAGTTTATTGCATCACTTGGCTTGATTTATACAATTGTATAGGAGTTTGATTTGGAAATATCCTAAGTTCCTGACTATCCAAATATAAAATACTGTAAAATTGTTCCCAAGTGAATAAACAACTCAATTCTGCAATTATGAGAGTTATATGTCTGTCACTGTCTCCCATTCTTCTTTCATTTATATTTAACTAATGTGAAATCATTAGCCAGCAAATCTCCCTGCTGATACTCTGTTTTGCTGACTGTCCCTTGCAGGAAGAAAACTCAAAGGTAGTGATGTCAGACATCACATATTTTATAAAGAGTCTCCCATAGCTATTCAAACAGGCAGCAAACAATACTGCAAGATATTCACAGTTCCGGGTTAGAGTTTCTCTTCATTATGAATGATGGCATGAAAAAGTACAGCAAAGCCAACAGAATATCTGATATAAATGCACTGCCCTTGACAGTGAGATGGGAAACAAAATAGGCAGCTAGTTCTGAAGGAGCCAAAAAACCGTAACTCTTTTCAGCAAAGCACAGGCTAATGGCTACAAAACTGATAATGGCTTTTCTCATCTGAATGCTGTAAGGAGATCTGAAGGTACTTTAAGTGTAAGTTTTGTTTAACCTTACCTTTTGGTAATCATTTTTAGATTTCAAGGCAGACTCCATTTGTTCTGAGGTGAATGTATAGATGGCAGACCGATATTGTGTCCCAACATCATTTCCCTGCCGCATCCCTAAAAGGTAAAAATATAGGAAGGGATGAAAAGTTTAATTACAGAACTCTCATGTCTGGAGACAGCAGAATAGATGAAAAAGAACTGGAGAAAATCACAATATATAAAGACCTGCAAATAGAAGTAGAACAACTATGGCAAAAGAAAGCAAAGATAATACCAATAGTTATAGGGACTTTAGGTGCAATCCCAAAACATCTGGAGCACCACTTGAAGGCCATCAGCATTGACAAAATCACCATCAGTCAATTGTAAATGGCAGCTTTACTTGGAACAGCTTACATCCTGCAACGATACCTCTAACACTATCAAACAACATCTGCCTATCCCAGGTCCTTGGAAAGGACTCGATAGGTGGATAAAAATGCCAAATCCAGCCTAAACATCTGGCTGACTGTGCGACCAACCACCACCACCACCACCACCATCACGGCATGCAGAACTCCAGTGTAATGGAACAGCTGAGCCTCTAAGGTAGAAAGCTGCACACTCAGAATCTCCTCTTCTAGAAGCCCTCATGGTCCCCTTCCCATGGCCTCACTTCCTGCTTTAGGCCAGAATTTTGGGACTTCCAGCTGATACTATCTATCCTCCAGGGGGCACTTCACATGGTGCCCACCCCATTCCTTCTTGTGTCAGAGGGATGCTCTCACAACCTGTGCTGACTTTCTGGTGATTAAAAGGTACAAATGCAAAAAGCAAAATGATTTCAGTAGATCAGCCTCCTGTCCATTTAACATATAGGTTTTAGCCCTTTTTT